TATTATTAAAAAATCCAAAAACAAAAAACGTAGCAGCAACAAGTTATGTCGCTTTTTGAGTGGCGAAAAAATTAAAAAATAAATTATGTATGTTTTTATACTTCTCTGGGGTGTTATTAAACATTTTTATAAAATTTGTTTCACATGGGAAATTTCATATTTTTTTCAATTTTTTTTTTTTTGGTTAGTTTTTTTTTTGCCAAAAAAAATTGATTTAAATTTAGTTCACTGCCACTTGTATGGGACGCCGCCAATTGTTCATACGTGTTTTTTTTATATTTTTACATTTGTTGTAGTTGTTGTTGTAGCTTATATTCATTGGTTCCTGTTTAATGTCTCTTTTTTGTTTTTTTTTATTCTAATTTATGTTCTTTTTTTCTGTGTTTTTGTTAAACTTTCGGTTTTTGTCTGTCTGTTTTTTCAATTCGCTGGCATTAGAATAAAAAAATGACTCATTTAGCTACGCAAATTAGGTTTTGTTTCGTTCATGATGTGTATTTTTTCTCGTTGTTGTTATTTTTATTTTATATTTTTTGTTTATTTTATAGTTTTTTTTTCTAATTTTACACTCAAAAAATTAAAGAAAAATAATACACTTTTAATTAATGGTCAGTTTGAGTTGCGTGGCTCATCTGCCTTTCTCTCTCCCTCTCCCATTGGTGTCTCTTTGATTGTAAATCTCTTTGGCAGTGACGTAATACTGCTATAATTTCATTGATCGCCATTTAAGAGATGTTTTACACTCAGAGAAAAAACGTATTTTTTTGTTTTTTTTTAGCTTTCACTGTTTCTTTTTCTATTTCTTTTTATTGTTGCTGTGTTATTGTTTCGCTGATTCCTTTGTATGTATTTTGCATATCACTTTTTTATTTGGTTTTCTTTTTTATTTTTTGATTTTCACTACATTTTTTTTTAGGGCAAAGCTGTCTGTCATTCGTCCGTCCATTTTACAAATGTCTAATGCCGAACAAAGTGGTGCCGGTACAGTAGAGTCCGTATAAAGACGATTTATTGTAACACCTACCATAAATGTATTATACCCTCAACCATATGGCTAAAGAGAGTATATATTATTTGATACGACCAAAACGTGCCTTGTCGAAATAATGGTTTTAGACCCAAGGTATCTTTGGACCAAAAATAATTTGCTGCACAGAAAGATAAAGGATAATAACATTTTGCTCCAACTTTGCAAATCATTATATTTGCATCAGTGCTAGGCCAGGTGCGAAAATGGACAATATCAGTCCTCTCCATCCAGTACGTCCCCCACAAATTTTGAATAATTATAACATTTTGAATAATTATAACTAATTTTGAATAATTGTAACTAATATAAAATGAGATGTAAGCGACCGATTATCTTCAAATTGCACAAATCACATTTTTTTAAACCAAGCTCTAGTGTTATGATGGAATATATCGGTCCACTCCGATACCTACCTCACAAAGGGTCAACATTTTGAATAATTATAACACTTATAAAATGTGATGTAAGTGTCCGATTGCCTTTAGATTAGACACATCAAAATATTTTTATTAACCCAAGGTCTGCTGTGAAAATGGAATATATCGGTCCACTCCTTCTGGAACCTCCCCCACAAAGGGTCAATGTTTTGAACCACCAAATCGATTATAAAATCCGAAATAAACATCCGGATCACATCAAATTACACACATCACATAATTTGCATTAGCCCAAGGTCTGGTATGAGGATAGGATATATCGGTCCACTCCATCTGGTACCCCCCCCACAAAGGGTGAAATTTTAAATATCCATGAAGCTCATAAAACGCGAAATTAATATCCGATTCCATTCAGACTTGGTACATCTCAATATTTTCATCAACCCAAGATCTGTTGTAGATATGGTAGAGATCGGACAATTTCTTCTGGTACCTCCCCCACAAAATGTTAAAGTTTTGAATGAACAAAACTATCATAAAATCCGAAATAAACATCCGATTCTCTTCATATTCCACACATCCCAATATTTCTATTAACCCAAGGTCTAGCGTGAAGATGGGATATATCGGTCCATTCTTTCTGGTACTTCCCCCAGAAAGATTCAAAATTTTGAATATCAATGAAGCTGATAAAACGCGAAATTAACATTCCATTCCATTCAGACTTCGTGCATCTCAATATTTACATAAACACAAGATCTGTTGTAAAGATGGTAGAAATCGGACGATTTCTTCTGGTACCTCCCCCACAGAAGGTCAACGTTTTTAAATAACCAAAACGATCATAAAACCCGAAATAAACATCAAGGTCTCATCAAATTGCATACATCATATCATTTGTATTAACCCAAGGTCTGGTATGACGATAGGATATATCGGTCCACTCCTTCTGGTACCTCCCCCACAAAGGCTCAATTCTGTTGAATATCCACGAAGCTCATAAATCGGGAAATTAACATCCGATTACATTCAGACTTGGTACATCTCAATATTTTTATCAACCCAAGATCTGTTGTAAATATGGTAGAGATCGGACAATTCATTCTGGTACCTCTCCCATAAAAGGTTAAAGTTTTGAATAACAAAAACGATTATAAAATCCGAAATAAACATCCGCTTCTCTTCATATTTCACACATCCCATTATTTCTACTACCACAAGATTTCCTGTGAAGATGGAATATATCGGTCCACTTCCTCTGGTACCTCCCCCACAAAGGCTCAATTCTGTTGAATATCCACGAAGCTCATAAAACGCGAAATTAACATCCGATTCCATTCAGACTTGGCACAACTCAATATTTCCATCAACACAAGATCTGTTATAAATATGGTAGATATCGGGCCATTTCTTCTGGTACCTCCCCAACAAGGGTCAAAGTTTTGAATATCAAAAAACGAACATAAAATTCGAAATAAGCATCCGGTTCTCTTCATATTTCACACATCCCATTATTTCTACTAACACAAGATTTCTTGTGAAGATGGAATATATCGGTTCACTCCTTCTGATACCTCCCCCACAAAGGTTAAAATTTTTGAATTCCCACGAAGCTCATAAATCGGGAAATTATCATCCGATTACATTCAGACTTGGTACATCTCAATATTTCCATCAACACAAGATCTGTTATAAATATGGTAGAGATCGGACCATATCTTCTGGTACCTCCTCCACATAGGGTTCAATATATATACCCTACACCACAAGGTGGTCAGGGTATTATGTCTTTGTGCATTTGTTTGTAACATGGAGAAGGAAGCGAGATAGACCCATAGTTACTTTTGAGGACCTCCATAGAATCACTTTCTGGGTTGATTTATGCATGTCAGTCCGTCCGTCCGTCTGTCCATGCATTCTTGTGAACAAAATGCAGGTCGAATTTATTATCCGATTAAGATGAAATTTTGCACAAATCATTTGTTTGGCCCAAGAAGAAGATAATCGGTAAAAAATTAGATTTAGCTCCCATATATATCTTCGTCCGATTTGACTTTTATTATGCACCAAACGTGTAATATCAGCCCGAATATTATGGAATTTTGCACATACAACCAAATTAGGCCTGAAAATAAGTATGCCAAATTTGATCGATATCGGTTCAGATATAGCTATAGCTCCCTTATATATATGTTTCATCCGATTTATTATTTTTCTCCTCCGCAGCTGTAATATACACTCTGTAACAACAATATTTGGGGAAATTTATCAAATACAGCTCAGAAATACATTTGCTAAATTTTATTGAGATCGGTTCAGATTTGGATAGATCTGCCATATATAACTTCGTCCGATTTACCTTTGATTGTGCACCAAATGTCTAATATTTGTCCAAATGGGATGAAATTTGGCACTTACGACCAAATTGCGTCCAGAAGCTAGTATGTCAAATTTGGTGAAGATCGGTTCAGATATAGCTATAGCTCCCATATATATTGTTCATCCGATTTCTAGTATTTGATACCCACAACCGTAATATGCACTTCGTAACAACGATATTCAGGGAAATATATCAAATACAGCTCAGAAATATCTTTGCCAAAATTTATCGAGATCGGTTAAGACTTGGATATAACTCCCATGTATAACTTTGTCCGATTTACCTTTTATTGTGCACCAAATGTCTAATATTTGTCCAAATGGGATGAAATTTGGCACTTACGACCAAATTGAGTCCAGAAGCTAGTATGTCAAATTTGGTGAAGATCGGTTCAGATATAGCTATAGCTCCCATATATATTGTTCATCCGATTTCTAGTATTTGTTACCCACAGCCGTAATATGCACTCCGTAACAACGATATTCAGGGAAATATATCAAATACAGCTCAGAAATATCTTTGCCAAAATTTATCGAAATCGGTTCCGATTTGGATATAGCTCCCATATATATTTTTATCTGACTTCAAATTAATTTTGCACCAAATGGGCAATACATGTCCGAATTGAAAAGATACAAATGCTTCGGCATATATAGTCCTTTGAACTTTAAAGGTCTTCCCTCTAGACCCTATGTGGTATTTTCTCCGTTGAAGCTCTCCTCTCCATAAAGAGCCAAATAATATATTTTCTATTAAAATATCAAACTAATGTTTCCCCTTTAACCATTACATTTAATCGGATTGCACTGTAGGCCATTTGCCTTGCAAAAAAAAAGTAATAGACATTCATCACATTGTAATGTTAACTACATATCTAACGATCATTACCAACACCGAGTACGTTGGTACTTGATTTTGTATTTCAAACACGTTTCCTTAGGCCATTTTTTTCGCTACTTCATTTCCATCTTTGGAGAATGAAAAAAAAAACTAAACTCAAAACTAGTAATGTTGTTTAACCTCATCACAAGGCAAATAGTTTGTTTCTGTCTTTCTCTTTTCTTCTAAGGGGATTTCAAATAAATTCGATTTTTTTGGCAAAGAAATTTCACAAATTAACAAATTTTGTATTATAAAAAATTCACAAGTTATTATTCTTTTGTTTTCTTTTCATAGGTTTTGATTATTTGTTTGAATAATTTATTTTACATACTTTTCTTGTTATAAACCAAATGCGTTATTGAGGTGTTCGTTGAAGATCGCTACAGTTGTTGTTGTTGTCGATTTTATTTTTTTTTTCAAATTTATTTTTTTTTTTTTGTAATTTTACTCAATAAACACGGAACTTTTTTTTAATTTGTTTGTTTGGAACAGCTCTCTCGGCTCTCAGTGTACACCAATTAGAACAACAAATAATGGATGAAAGAAAGACTATACACTGTCGTTTAAATTAATTTAGTCGTCGTTTTATTTTATTTTCTGTTTTTTTTTTTTTTTTCAAAAAAGAATCACGTTCAAATTTGTTAGGAGATCCTCGCGAACACTTCACTCCAAAAGTCAAATCAATACTAAAAGTTGTCTCTTAGGCCAGCAAAAATTGTTTAAACAGAAATTCGTAAAGCCACAGCCAGCAGCAGCAGCAGCAGCAGCAACAATGCCATAACATTGGCACAACTACAAATGGATTTTGTTTTGTGTTGTTTCACACACACACAAACAAAGCGAAAAACCACCGAGATACAATCCCAAATCTCTTGCCGCCACATCTCATCCGAAAAAAACAGCCCCAACAAACAAGGTTTGTGTAAAATATTGGCAAAGTAAAAAAAAAAACAAAACAAAACAACACAAATCACTAGGTATCTCTTTTGAATTACTCTTCTCAGAGATTTTTGTATTGACGTGAGAGGACAAAATCATTCGCATTCCATGGATATACAAAACCCCACATTTGTGCACACACATATACACACAAAGATAATGTTTAGCAAAAAATTTCTAACGCACAGTTGCTGTGTGGTTTTGTTGTTGTTGCTGTTGCTTTTGGCCCCCCAAAGCATCACCAACACTCGATCAACAGATGCCGCAATGGGGGACTCTCAACAAAACAAATACAAACTCTCTCTCAACAACTTACCTGTTTAAAGAGCAAACATACAAATCTTATCTCTTAATCTCTCTTTTCAAAAAAGACAAACAATAACAAAATTGTTCATTCCTTTCGTTTTAAAAGATTTGTAGAAGTTGTTCTTTGCAGAAAACATATAGAAGTTTTTTTCATAGAATATCTGTCCGAGGTTCTCATTCTATAGGTGATCTGCGAAAGTCCCTTATCTATAATAGACTCTCTTAATATTTTCCATTTATAGAGGAACTGCAAAAAGTGTTCTATCAATGGAAGATGTAAAAGAGGTTATCTATCCTTAGATCTGCTATCTTAGGGGCGTAGAAAAAGTCTTCTACATATCAGAGACCTATGGAAGTTTTTTTATACATAGTATGGAGGATATATTAAGTACGTAATTCAGTCGAAATAGTAATTGTAGATGATTTTAATTCTTAGACGATTTAGAATAACTAACATATCAAACGCCATAATTTTTACATTTTTTTTAATTTTATTGAATGAAAGCAAAAAATGCCGGAAATAGCATCAGATTTTAGAACAAGTTTAGATTTGTTCGAATTGGTCGCCCTGTGCACGAATTATGGCCTTCAAACGGCCAATGAAGCCGTCACACTCTGCCCGAATGTTCTACGGTATTGTGGCCCATTCCCTGCGAAGCGCCTGCTTGAGGTGATCGACACTTTGGTATTTTTAGTGCCAACCTTGCTTTTCAAAATACTCCAGACACAATAGTCCAACGGATTGGTATCCGGGGATTTTTGGTGGACCAAAGAACCTCATTTTGTACCATTCTTGGGTGGCGCGTGCTGAGTCCTGTTGGGATGTTCAAGGTGCGCGGCCAAAAATTTTGTGTTCCCAAGGCTTTAATACGCCCTCCAGAATATTTTATCGATAAATTCGGCATTTATTCTGATGCCACGGTCGATTAATACAAGCGAAGAGCGACCATCGGCTGTAATGGCGGCCCACACCACCAGCATGGCCGGCGCTTGAATTCTGGTGGCCAACCGAAGGTGCACATTTTCAGCTGACCTCTTTGGCAAGTACAGACGATCATTTTGTTTTTTTTTTTTTACAAACTGCTGGACAACGAATGTTTTCTCATCGGAGAAAACCAAATTCCGCAGTCCAACACTTTCGGCCAAGCGAAGCAACTCTTTGAAGTCTTTAGCTCTTTTAAGTCTATTTTCTTTCCTTTTTTTCAATATTTGCCCGAGATCATTTTTTAATATTTGCCGAATGGAATATTGCGATATGTTCATCTCACGATCCATTTTTCGACCACTTCGACGCGGGTTTCAATCAAGTCGCTTTTTTATTTTTCGAACCATTTCTGCTGATGTTGTTGTTTTCTTCCGTCCACTTCCTTGACGGCGGGCTACGCTATCACGTATTACGGTGACGAGCGATGGTACGAGACACAAAAGATTTATTCACATTTAAATGCTGGAGTGCTCTAACGATAGCCACTTGTGGCTACCCCACAAAGGGGTCAACAATTTTAATAAACAAAATGCTCATAAAATGCGAAATAAGCTTTCGATTCTTTTCAAATTGCACACATACTAGTATTTTTATTAAAACAAGATCTGATGTGAAGATGTGATACATCGGCCCACTCCTTGTGGTACCTAACCGCCCCCAAAAAGGGGTCAACACTTTGAATATCCAAAACGCTCACAAAGTGCGAAATAAGCATCCGATTCTCTTCAAGTTTCACACATCCTATTATTTCTATAAAAGTAAGATCTAGTGTGAAGAGGGTAGATATCGGCCCATCCCTTGTGGTACCTCTCCCACAAAGGGGTCAAAATTTTGAATAAACAAAATGCTCATAAAATGCGAAATAAACAGTTGAACCTTTTCAAACTTCACACATCGTTATATTTCTACAAATCCAAGGTCTGGTGTGAAAAATTGTGAATATCGGCCTACCCCTTGTGGTACCCCTTGTGGTAAATTTCACACTTCCCAATATTTTTTCCCAGACAAGATCTGATGTGAAGATAGTAGGTATCGGCCCACACCTACAGGTACCTCCCCCACAAAGGGTCAAAATATGAATCAGATTCTCTTGATATTTCACACATCCTAATATTTTTACCCAGACAACATCTGGTATGAAGATGGAACCATTGGCCCACTACCGTGGTACCTCTTCCACAAAGGGTCAACATTTTGAATAACTAAAAACACTCACAAAATGCAAAAGTAGTATGCGATTCCTTTCAAATTTCAAACATCCCATTATTTCTATCAAAGTAAGATTTAGTGTGAAGATTGTAGATATCGACCAACTACTTGTGATACCTCCCCCACATGGGGGTCAAAATTTTGAATAACCAAAACGCTGCCAAAATGTGAAATAAACATTAAATTCTTTTCAAACTGCACACATCCCAATATTTCTACCAAAGCAAGATCAGGTGAGAAGATGGAATATATATGTTCTGTCCTTCGGGTACCTCCGCCACAAATTTTGAATAACCAAATGCGAAATTAGAATCTGAATCTTTTAAAATTGCACAATTCTTAATATTTCTATTAATACAAGATCTGGTGGTGTGACGATGGCAGATATCGGCCCACTTCTTCTGGTACCTCTGCCACAAGAGCTCAAGATTTTGAATAATTATAACCTGTAGAATATGCGAAACAAATCAGCGATTTTCTTCAATCTCGATGTAGGTATCTCAATATTTCTCCTATAGGAACTCCTTTTTTATACCCTCCACCATAGTATGGAGGGTATATTAAGTTTGTCATTCCGTTTGTAACACCTCGAAATATATATTTTAGACCCCACAAAGTATATATATTCTTGATCAGCATAAAATTCTATGTCGATTGAGCGAGTCCGTCCGTCTGTGGAAATCACTCTAGCTACCGAACGAAATGAAGTAGGTTGATAAAAATTTACTCAAATGTGTATTATGTCTGCAGGACTTTTGGTACAGAAAATGGGCCATGTAGGTCCACGTCTTCGTATATCCCCCATATAACGGTACCTCCCGATATTCGGTATTTTGATGATTTTAGCGACATTATTTACCGGAATTGTTTTAATTTGGTATTTGAAGTTCGTAATGGATACTACATCCTAAGACAGAAAATGATTCATGTAGGTCCACGTCTTCGTATAGCCCCCCATATAACGGTACCTCCCGATATTGGGAATTCTGATGATTTCAGAGGCATTATTTACCGAAACTATTTCAAATTTTGTGTTTCGTAATGAATAATACAGCCTATGACTGAAAATTGTCTGTGCAGGTCAACGTCTACGTATAGCCCCCATATATCGGTTCCCTCCGATATTCGGTATTTTGAGATTTAAGCGACATTATTTGTTTCAAATTTGGAATTTGAATTTTAAAATGAATACTACAGCCTATGACAGAAAATTGTCTGTGCAGGTTCACGTTTTATGACCCCCATGGTACCTCCCTATATTCGGTATTTTGATGATTTTTGCTACATTATAAAGAGATTTTTTTTTTTCAAGTTTCGCATTTGAATATTGTAATAGCTTGTGACAAAAGTTGCCTATGCTGGTCCACGTCGTCGTATAGACCCTAATATACGACTACATTTTATTTTTAAGATTTTAACAGAATTTTTTAACGGATTTTAATACATTTTTTTTTTTTTTGAAAATTGCCAAAATCGTTCCAAATGGTGGAGGATATATTTAAAGATCGGCAGAACTTACTGCTTTTTTACTTGTTTGTTCTGATCTCCCGAAGATAGACCTTTTGATATTCTTTTTAAAGGTTTACAGATTTTTCATCAGGGTTTCCATAATAATTTCTGCAGGACTTCTATAACATTTATCACCTTCTTCCTCTTGTTTTTTTTTTATAAAAAGACCTGCAGTTTTTCTTTGCAAAAAAAACTTCTAAAAAACCTCATTAAATAATTACGATCAGTTAAGAGAATAATGTTAGGACTCTTTTATTATAAAAGCATAACATAACACCAGCGGTGCTCAAAACCGTGTTCTAGAACATGAAGAGAAAAAAGAGATAATTTAAGACAAAATTAAAATTCTGTTTTTCTTTATATTTTACGGTTTTATTTAATTGTTTTTAAACACGAATGTTTGCCAATATAATTTATAAAGCAAATAGATAAAAAATATTTGAGAGAAAGAGAAATTTGACTGAAAAGAGATATTTCTTCTTGAGCACCGCTGATAACACCCACTCTCTTTATAGGTGACATGTTATTTACATGATGTTAAATAAATTGTGTTTACATTGCAACGTTAACAGCTGCGTTTGTAAACGATTTGTAACGTTAACGTGTTTTTGCACTGAATTTCTGTTAAACGGGGCTTTCAACTTGTCATTGCTCTCGGGGTTTGTTGTTACCGTTGCTGTTGTTGTTGTTGTGTGTTAACAACAAATCATGTGCGTAGGTGTTAAAAATGAAGTAATACATTCATTTTCTATTTGTCTTTATTGTTGTTGTTATTTGTTTACTACAAAACATGATTAGTTTAGTTTTACTTAGAACTACTATTCCACCAGCCATTGGCGGCGACGACGACGACTCCTACTCATTTGACACAAAAACCATCATAAATTCATTCATTTTAGTTGAATAACCGAGGAACGCCAAGCCACCGTTTGTCAGTGAGACAGCAGAGCAGGTTTCCCCACTTCAAAACGCCACCAGAGGAAATGGAAAGGTATCGTCGTATAGAGTTACAGGCATTCAAACATTTACTAGACACCTAGTTGTTGTTGACTAATAGAGGTACGCGTTGGCTGCAGCAGCTGTGATGACATATTCCACCTTTCTGTGGAATAAAAAAAGTGCATATCTGATGATGACTACCTGGTATGGAGAGTAGATTAGTAATACGAGTGTGTTTTTCGTTATGATTTCATAAAGAGGTAAATAAATATTACATTTAAAATGCAACATCTTATCATGGCAACAATTTAAAAATGTTGAGTGCATTTAAATTTTATAACAAACATTAGGGTGGATATAACTAATATTTTTATTGCTGAAATGATTTTTTGACATATTTGGAGACAGGGGAACATTTTATTCATAAAGTTCATCCATCTAGTAAAAATCTATGAAGATACTGTTAATCTACGTTTTCTCATCTTTTAAAGCATGGCCTAGTAGGTTTACTAAAAACTGTCCTTTTAATCTCCTCTTCAAATCAATTTTTAAGGATGTTTTGCAAATGATCTTTATAAATACAGGGCAAGAAAATATATATTTAATTTTTTTAGAATCAACATATTTATTTTAAATATATAAATAATATTTAAAATAAATAAATAATTTTCATTTAAAATGTTTTAATTATTAAATATTAAATATTTAATATTTTCCGCAAAAAAAGTGTGTGTTTCATTGCCTAATTTCTTTCTCAAAAATTATTTTTAAATAACAAAAAAAAACAGTTTTTTAAAAATCTAAAACATATTTTATTTGAAGAATTTAAGAAATTAAATATTTTAAATATTATTTTTCAAATTACTAAATCTCGGAATTAGATTTTTTTAAATTATATTACATTCTATATATTGAAATTCCATTGAAATTCCAAATTCCAAGCGCAGAACTTACACCGCAACAGAAAGAATATAGGATCAAAAGAGCTACAGAGTTGCTTCGCTTGGGCGAAAGTGGTGAACTGCCGAATTTGGTTTTCTCCGATGAGAAAACATTCGTTGTCCAGCAGTTTGTAAATAAACAAAATGATCGTGTTTACTTGCCAAAGAGGTCAGCTGAAAATGTTCACTTTCGGTTGGTCACCAGAACTCAAGCGCTCGTATAGATCGACCGCGAATAAATCCCAAATATTATTGCGAAAATATTCTGGAGGGTGTATTAAAGCATTCGGCACGCAAACATTTTGGCCGCAGACCTTGGACATTCCAACAGGACTCAGCACGCGCCACCCAAGAATGGTTACAAAATGAGGTTCCTCGCTTCATTTCCAGGGCACAATGGATACCAATCCGTTGGACTATTGTGTCTGGAGTATTTTGGAAAGCAAGGTTGGCACCAAAAAATACCAAAGTGGAAATGGACCAAATTACCGCAGAGCATCATTCGGGCAGTGTGTGACGTTTGAAGGCCATAATTCGTGCCAAAGGTGGCCAGTTCGAACAAATCGAAACTTATTCTAAAATTTGATGCTAATTCTGACATTTTTTGCCTTCATTCAATAAAATTAAAAATCAAGAAAGCAAAGGCTATAGTCGTGTGGGGCCGACCATGTAATACCCTACAACACTGCAAAATTTTAGAAGCCCCCTTATGTCCAAATCCATTTTAGAAGATTTCTCTTTTGCCAATATTTACAAACTGTGTCGTACTGTTAGTTGTTTTAGTCCATTTTACAGCTAAATAAAATCTAATGGTCATCCAAAATCTGACTTTTATTTAACACAAATGTTGATCCACTAAATATTACCCAATGACCATCAAAATTGGAAGGCTTCTAACCAGACATATGCTAACTTCTGCGTCGATTGGTCTATAATTGCGACATGTAGAGCAACTGCAAAATGAGGAAATTTTCAGTTTTTGGTCCATTTCAACACCTAAATATTATGCGATCATCTCCAAAAGCAATAGGCTTCTATTCTTGCCTCCACTGTAAATTTCATGAAGATCGGGCCACAATTGCGACCTGTAGAGCGAAAAAAATATTCTCCTATTCATTTAAAATTCGATTGGAAATTGCCAACAAACCTTTAATGATATCCGGTTTCTTTTGAAATAAAACAAATTTCATTTGAATTTTTTCCATTACTGGCCCCCAACACATATTTCAGTGTTGTGTGTTTTTAGCCCATCTTTATTAATTTGAATTTTTTTTTTTTAATATATTTTCATCCTTTCTTATAAAACTCTCATTCTTTCAATCCAATTTTAAAAGTTATAGAATAAAGTGCATACGATACGTACGACTGATTGTTGTGTTTGTGTGTGTGAGTGTGTGGATAAATTAAAAAGGAATTCTATTTCTCAAGTTGTGGTTGTGGTGGTGGTGGTGGAGGTGTTGATGTCAAAGGAAACTCTATGAAGATACAAAATTTTGTTTGAAATTAATAAAAATAACTACAAGAAGAAAAACTTATCGTCCTTATCTCATTATTGTGCATTAAATTAGCTTAGAGTGTGGTTGGTTTGTGTCCATAACAAAATAGGACATGCTTATTTATCTGTGATTGGTTTCGTTTTCTTTTTTGTTTGTCTTGTTGAGGCAAGTGATAATACATGTACATAGCCTATATATACATATATATATTCACAACAATATATAATTAATGCTCAATTTAAAATCGATATCTTAGAAAAATGAAGAAGAAATATTGTAATAATAATAATTATAGTAGTAGTATTACAAAGAATCCTTTTAAGCTATACGATTTTAGTTTTCATTTTTTTCAGATAATAAGATCTAAGTTATTATTTTTGTAATATGTAATAATATTGAAGCGCAAAAATCTAAAATTTAAAATTAAAAACAAAGAAGAGAAGAATTTTCAGATTTTTCTTATTTTTTTCGTTTAAATGCTAGAGACGACAAAACCCGTTGACAATTCTGAAAGCAAAGTCGTTGTTGTTATTCTAATATGCGGAAGAAGATACATTTAAGATTTACATTTAAAATTACAAACGTTGGCGGCAGCACCCCTCCTTTCTTTACTCGATTTGCATCGAACGAATCGAATCACTCCTTGCGGGTTCTCTTACATGGTATTGTTGTTGTTGTTTTAGTACATTTTATTAGAGTTTGTTTAGTCCTTGGCGGGCACTTCGATGACACGGGGCTTGTCAATAATGCGGGCGGTCTTGTTGCCCTTCTCAACGATGCCAATGATCCAGGCCTGATAGCCTTCTTGTTTCTCAATGTCTTTGCAGTAGGCGGCGGCTTGTTCACGAGGCAAGCAGATGAGCAGGCCACCTGATGTCTCGGCGGAATGGCCCTGGAGCAATTGGAACATGTTACCACAGGCTTTGGCCACAGCGGCCATTTTTGAAATAACCGGCAGATTGTGAATAACAAACGAGACATCCTTCTTCTGGTGGGAGGCCAAGGTCTGGGCATGACCCAACAGACCAAAACCAGTAATATCGGTAGCACCATGGGCATTGTACTTATGCATAAGACGGGCGGCCGTACGATTGAGGCGGGCCATGGAATTCATTGCACGGTGATAGGCTTTGCGTACATCCTCCTCGGAAACGACCAACTTAATACGATTCCAACGTTCGGGCTGATCCAGCCACTGATGGGCATTCACGGCCACCTGGGTACCCAATGGCTTTGTGAGCACCAACACATCTCCCACGACGGCATTGTCGGGTACAATATACTCATTGGGCTGGCATATGGTGGAGGCCACACCACCGATTGTGCACCAAGGATTGACCACACTCTGACCACCCGTCACAGTGGTACCTGCCTCCAGAGCTGAATCCTTGAAGCCTCGCATAATCAGTGGGATTACAACATCACGCTCCTTCTCCGTCATCTTGGTGCTGACGGCCAACAGCATCAACATATTATCACAATCAGTTACACCCATGGCATACAAATCGCTCAACACATTGGCACAGGCAATCTTACCCATCATGTAGGGATCGTCAACAATGGGGTAGAAGAAGTCGGTCGTCTGCACCAGACAAAGGCCACCGTGACGCAAGGGGATCACCGAACAATCTAGACCAATGCCAATGCGTGGAATGGCCATGTTCATGAATTGGGCATCTTGATCTTGCAGCGAGTAGTCCTGTTGCAGGGCCGACACCAGCTTGCCCAAAACCTCCTGGGGAACTTTACAACCTCGGCCCTTCAAATCGGCAAAACGCGTCAAACGAAACGTTGGCTCCAAGTCGTGAGCAGTGGGGTCGAAGGGACGGCGCAATTCAGCGCCATTGCCCCCCTGCAATTCCAAGTGAGCAGCATTCAAGACATCGGCTTGGTAACTCATTGTGTGGCGAGCGAGCGAGCAAACGTACGACGGATGTTTGTTGTATTATTTAGTTTATTATTTCAATTGAATTTGGTTTTCTTTTTTTTTCGCTAAAAAGATCTAAATAACTGCGAATAAATTTCACTAAATCTCACAATAACTCTGATGCGTTTGAATTGCTCTTTGTCCCAACTGGCGGCAGATTTTCCAGCTTGAATCAAATGGCGGTGGCTGTAAATTATTTTTTTTCTGGTATAGGGCGAATAATCGAATAGTGTAATGAATCTATTCTATGATGCCATGATGCTCATGAGCAGTAAAAATGGCGACGAACGGCGTCGGAAAGTGGATATGCGCGACTTGGTAGTTTGCATTTTGGACACGTTTCAATATAGCGTCAGCAAACTGTAGTTGGCAGTTAGTGGGCGTTGTGAGGGGACGTAACGCAACGTAACGTAAAATGACAATAGGGGGAAAGGTTTAAAGAGAAATTGTGTTTATAGAGAATTTAATGGAAAACAAAGAGATATTTTTGGAAAAGTATTTAATTTACATTATTTCATTGATTGTCACAAAAAATAAATTGTGATATTGATAAGAAACTCTTTTTTCTTAACTTAATAATGAGCGCCAAAATGAAAGAGTCGCCATGAAATTAGTCGTAAATGAGCATTTTTTGCATTATTCGGATGAAAATTTCCTAACTTTTATAAAAATTATATTATCCGAACGAACAGTTAAACGATTTCAAAAAATCAAGTCACTTTGAGTGACTCCCTGTTTCATTTCCGGAGCTTGGACTCCTCACTTTGGAATTCCATGTGAGACCAGTGTTTTTGACTATTAAAAAACCATTAATATTCTTACAAAGCATGGTATGTTTCATAGTCGTCTTCAAAAACTTATGACATTATCGAAGGCATTGCAAAAAAGCTGCAAAAAAAGAAAATTCTGTTTAGCGATGCAGCTTATTATCGAATTTGGAGTGAAGATCAGCCAAAAGCATTGCACAAGCTACCAATGCATTCAGTAAAAGTCAGATGTTCTGTTCCAAAACCGCAAGAATGTTAAGTTTTTACTACGATAACCGATTTTCCGATTATTATAACGAAAAAAACTAACAGGTTCTGGAACAGAACATTATTCTCCCTATAAGCTGAAAAGGTGAGGACACATAGAACAGATTTTTACTGGCTTAAGTCATCTGCAGGCTTCTTCGTATAAGAAGAACAAAGAAGGTTTAGATTGACTTGGTTCAATTTGGGTCCATAATTTATACTTGTTCACTCTACGCTCCTTTGTTCTTTTACAAAGAAGCCAGCCGATGACTTAAGCCAGTCAAAAAAACGTTTTTTGTATTCTCACCTAAAATATGAATTTTATTTTCAGAACAGTGCGAATATTTTCATAACTTTGTCTGTTCCAGAAACTACGTGAGCTACTAGTTTTGCAATTTTTTGCTACAACATAAGGGAAAAACGCTAAAATTTTTAAATATTTTTACATTTTTGCGGTCCTAAACAATACATACAAATACAGAAACTGTGTATATGTTTTGAAATTACAAATACACCCTAAACAAAACATGTATATTTTTGTACCACGTTTATAGATATTAATTTCATATGTTTTCCTTTAAAAAAATTCACAAAAGAAGAAATAGACCCCGAAAATCTTATTTTCGAGTCTAGTTAGTCAATAACAAAATACTTCATTTCCACGTTACGTTTTGATGAAATTACATGCCCCACTAATTCAAATAATACCGAAAGGCGTTAAAATTGGTTGACGGCGGCCAGAAATACTCCATACGGCGTCACTGCTAGGTCAAGTGCACTCACCAGATAAGTAACCACCGGCGTAATCATAATATTTACATTTTGATTATTCTCATTTTTTCACCAAATTAATTTGTTAAGTAATTCAACTTATATTTCTGGCCTTTTAATGATTACGTAAATGGATCTTTTTGAATGTTAAAATCAGATTTTAAGATTTCTCTAATAAAGCAAAGTTCTAAAAGTACTCAAACCTAACCTATAAGGCTTAAGCTTGGGTGATTTCCGTTTCTAGAAACATCCATTGAACTGGAATTGCGCTGTCACAGCGCTACAACTAGTTTGTGTGTAAACAATAGACATAGGTGACTTGTGGGAGGGTAGGCAGACGATTAGTTGTAAGGCAAACACACATATGATTTAGGGAAATGACAGAAAACTGGTTTGTGGTGTGAAAACAAGAACAACAAAAATGTTCATTGTTTTCCATTTGGATAAACAATCAACAACTATGCAGGTGAATGCATTTTAATTTTTTGTTTACATTTAGGGTTTTATTGCTTTGATTGTTGGCTCTTGTTCGAAGGGCTGCTCAAATTGGTACCTTTTCCTGTTAGGGAGCTGTAGATCGACATTGGATTTATCGATAAACATAAAAAATATATAAGAATCAAAAAAATCGATTATTTATGCAAATTATAAGAAAGGAATGGAAGATTTAATAAGCCCTCAAAGATAATTCAAGGAAATTATGTGTTTTATTAAAAACATCAAAAAACAAAACAAAAAAAAAAAAAAAAAGGAAAAATATCATAAAGAAACAATTTTCGTTTATCTTTTGATAGCCCAAAATGGAAAACTTTTTTTAAAGTATAGTATTTAGAAATACATTAGGTGTGTACTTACGATAACCATATCTTTTGTACAAAATATTAAAAAACCCGAAAGTCCAATAAATGAGAGCGAGCGGGGGGAGTAATTTTGATAAAATCTAATGTGAAAAATTTAATCCGTAAATTCTATCCACTAACGTCAGATGATTGAAAAAACAGTTGTTTTGTGGCTAATTTAAAATTGTTGACAAATTTCGGGCAATAAATTAATCATTTTTCTGATAATAAACTTTGAACTTTGTGTTATACCATTAGTGCTCTATTCGAGGACTGCAAGAATATAAAAATTTTTAATACGATAACAGATTTTTCCCTTGTGATATATCATTCCGTTTGTAACACCTCGAAAGATACATTTTAGACCCCACAAAGTATATATTCTTGATCAGCATAAAATTCTGTCCGTCCGCCCGTCTATGGAAATCACTCCTGCTTCCGAACGAAATAATGTAGGCTGATAAAATGTTACTCAATGGTATATTATGTCTGCAGGACCTTTGGTATTGAAAATGGGCCATGTAGGTTCACGTTTTGGTATAGCCACCATATAATGGTACCTCCCTATATTCGGTATTTTGATGATTTTAGCTACATTATTCACCGGAATTGTTTCAAAATTGGTATTTGAAGTTCGTAATGGATATTACAGACTATGACAGAAAATTGTCTGTATAGGTCAACGTCTTTGTATAGCCCTCATATAACGGTACATCCCAATATTCGGTATTTTGATGGTTTTAGCGACATTATTCACCGGAATTGTTTCAAATTTAGTATTTGAAGTTCGTAATGGATACTACAGCCTCCACGACTTTGTATAGCCCCCATATGATGGTACCTCCTTATTTTCGGTATTTTTGTGTTTCTGGCGACATTATTCACCGGAATTGTTTCAAATTTGCTATTTGAAGTTTCTTAATCGATACTACAGCCTATAACTTAAAATTGTCTGCGCAGGTCCACGTCTTCGTATAGCTCCCATATAATGGTACCTCCCTACTTTCGGTTTTCTGGTGATTTTATCGATATTTTTCACCGGAATTGTTCCAAATTTGGTATATGAAGTTCGTAATGGATGCTACAGCCTATGACAGTAAATTGTACGTGCGGGTCCACGCCTTCGTAGAGACCTCATATAACGCCACCTCCAGATATTCCATATTTTGATAATTTTAGCGAAATTATTCACCGGAATTGTTTCAAATTTGTTATTTGAAGTTCGTAATGGATACTACAGCCTAAGACAGAAAATTGTCTGTGTCCACGTCTTCGTATAAATTGTCTGTGCAGGTCCACGTTTTGGTATTGCCCTCATATAATGTTACCTCCATATATTCGGTATTTTAATGATTTTAGCTACATTATTCACTGATTTTTTTATTGTAATGCCTTATGACAAAGGTTGCCTATGCAGATCCACGTCGTCGAATAGACCCTAATACAACGACTACATTCGGTATTTTTAAGATTTTAACGGATTTTATTTTTTTTTTTTGAAAATTGCTAAAATCTTTATATTTTTATTGGAGGATGTTCAAAGTACGACCCGGTCGAACTTGCAGTTTTTTTACTTGTTAATATTGTAAACACACCTTTATTTACATTTCTGCACAACAACTTAACAATGCAGCAAATATATTAATAAAAAAATGCAACAAATTTTTATTAATAGAAAATAAAATTGTAAAAAATAATGTATTTTTTGAATTTTATAACACAAAATTCGTTTTTACATTATAAATTTAACCCTTTTAAACATTTCTTGTCATAAACATGCAATTTGACAACGATAACGTTGATAGCGGCCGTTTTGCCATACACATTTGCCGCACGTCAAAAATAAGATGGAACATAACACAACACCACACGCAGATGAATTAATTTAGTTGTTTTTTTTTTTCGTTAAATTAGTTGTTGACTAGTTTGGTATAATCTATTGTTAACTTAATAAGGAAAGAGAGTCACAAATAAGAAGGGAGCATTGATCTGGTGAAATAATAAAAGAACCGAAAAGAAACGTTGGTGTTAAGCAACGATAATCAAATATAACTCATTAATCAAATGTAATAACAGAAAAAAATAAAATTGCCACAAGTTAAAATTCCATTACCTTAATGTTGCAATTGTTTCGAGTGTTGTTGTGAAAGTGAAATTATTTTAGTGTTGTTGTTGTAAATATTTTGATAATTGAAAAATAATACCCATTTCAAGTCTTGTGTGTGTTTTTCTTATTAGAATTACCAGCGAAAGAAGAAGAAATTGTGTCTGAAAACAAAAGACTTAAGCCACAAACCTGTTGTCGATGACGCTTCTTTTTTTCTTTTCTTTAAACAAAAATGAGTCAATAAAAACACAACTTCGCTGTGAAAAAAGAAGTGATTTGGTTTTTTTGTAAAATATAAAAAATTTATAAATTGAGATTCATGCCTACGTCAAGAGTTTGAGTTCGACTTCATTACCATGTTGCGGCTGCATTCGTCATGTTGGTCTGTGACCTTGGTGGTATTCGGCTCGTTGTTGGTCTTATTGACCACCTTAACACCAGCCGTTAATTCCGTTTATGTTTATGGCGAACCAAAGTATAAATGTCCAGCCAGGTAAGTTGGGGTTTCTTTTTTTCTTCTTCTTATATTAAAAAGGAGGAAGGGAATGTAGAAGGTGTTTGAAAAAAAATAGAAATGTGAAGTGTAATTGTTTTGCAAAACCACGAAGTTATGATTTAAGACAACAACAAATAAAAAATTAATAAAAAAAACAAACTGGTTCAGCAACAGATACTTGTGAGTAAGAGATAAGAAACAACAATAATTCAAGGGGTTTTGCAAGTTTTAGGTAAATGTTTATATGGTTTTACACCCTCCACCATACGTAGTATGGAGGGTGTATTAAGTTCGTGATTCCGTTTGTAACTCATCGAAATATACGTTTTACACTCCACAAAATATATATATATTCTTGATCATTATAAAATTCTATGTCGATTTAGCGTTGTCCGTCCGTCTGTGGAAATCACTCTAGCTTCCGAACGAAATGAAGTAGGTTGATAAAATTTTACCCAAATGTATATTATGTCTGCAGAACTTTTGGTATTGAAAATGGGCCATGCAGGTCCACGTTTTGGTATAGCCCCTATATAATGGTACCTCACTATTTTCGGTATTTTGATGATTAAAACGACATTATTGACCGGAAATGTTTCAAATTTAGTATTTGAAGTTCGTAATGGATACTACAGCCTATGATAGGAAATTGTCTGTGCAGGTCTACGTATAGCCCCCATATAAATGTACCTCCCGATATTCGGCATTTTGATAATTTTTGCCACATTATTCATCGGAATTGCTTCAAATTTGGTATTTGAAATTCGTAATGGATACTACATCCTAAGACAGAAAATTGTCTGTGCAGGTTCACGTTTTCGTATAGCACCCATATAACGGTACCTCCCGATATTCGGAATTTTGATGATTTTGGCAACATTATTCACCGGAAATGTTTCAAATTTGGTATTTGAAATTCGTAATGGATACTACATCCTAAGACAGAAAATTGTCTGTGCAGGTTCACGTTTTCGTATAGCACCCATATAACGGTACCTCCCGATATTCGGAATTTTGATGATTTTGGCAACATTATTCACCGGAAATGTTTCAAACTTGTTATTTGAAGTTCGTAATGGATGCTACAGCCTAAGGCAGAAAATTTTCTGTGCAGGTCCACGTCTTCGTATAGCCCCCATATAATGGTACCTCGCCAGTTTCGGTATTTTGATGATTTTAACGACATTATTCACCGGAATTGTTTCAAATTTAGTATTTGAAGTTCGTAAGGGATTCTACAGCCTATGACAGAAAATTGTCTGTGCAGGTCCACGTCTTCGTATAGCCCCCATATAATGGTACCTCGCCAGTTTCGGTATTTTGATGATTTTAACGACATTATTCACCGGAATTGTTTCAAATTTAGTATTTGAAGTTCGTAAGGGATTCTACAGCCTATGACAGAAAATTGTCTGTACAAGTCCACGTTTTTGTACAGCCCCATATAATGGCACCTCCCCATTTTCGGTATTTTGATAATTTTAGATACATTATCCACACAAAATAAAATTTTGGAACGAATCTAAAATTTTAAAGTGAACTTTTCGTTGACGGGCACTTGCTAAAATTTCAAAATTTCAAATATCCTTGGGTGCAGATTTTTTTTAATTTTTTTTTTCAGAACGGAAATTGTGGAATTTTTCGGAATATGTTTATGCAAAGAATGGCATTTGACTTTTTATATCCTCAGCCATATGGCTATATCATTTGATACGGTCAAAACGTGCCTATTCGAAATAACAGTTTTAGACCCTAGGTCTCTTTGGACCAAATCCGTTTCAGGACAATTGAAGTCGATCTAGCGATGTCCGTCCGTCCGTCCGTCTGTCTGGCTGTCGATTTGCTTCAAACTTGGTATATCGTAATATTTTTGTTAAACTTAGATCGAGTTCGGAGATGGGCAATATCGGTCCACTCCTTCTGGTACCTCCCACACAAAAGGTCGAAATTTTCAAAAAATATATTTTTTTGCTCAGAATGAGAAACGACAATCTGATGTTGCTCCAACTTTGCAAATCCTAATATTTGCGCCAGTGCAAGGTCAGGTGCGAAAATGGACAATATCGGTCCACTCCATCAAGTACCTCCCTCACAAATGGTCAAAATTTTGAATAATTACAACTCTTATAAAATGTTATTCAAGAGTCCGATTGTTTTCAAATACCCCCACACATCCCAATATTTATGTTAAACGAAGGTCTGGTATTAAGATAGAATATATCGGTCCACTCCTTCTGTTACCTCCCCCACAAAAGGTCGAAATTTTCAAAAAATATATTTTTTTTTGCACAGAATGAGAAACGATAATCCAATTTTTCTCCAACTTTGCAAATCCAAATATTTACCTCAGTTCTCGGTCAGGTGCAAAAATGGATAATATCGGTCCACTCCATCAGGGGCTTCTCCCACAAAGGGTCAAAATTCTGAATAATTATAACTCATATAAAATGTGATGCTAGAGTCCGACTGTCTTCAAATTTCATACATCCCAATATTTATTTTAAACCAAGGTCTGGTGTTAAGATGAAATATATCGGTCCACTGCTTCTGGTACCTCCCCCAAAAAAGGTCGAAATTTTCAAAAAATAAATATTTTCTGGACAGAAAGGGAAGCAATAATCCGATTTTGCTACAACTTTGCAAATCCAAATATTTGCGTCAGTGCTAGGTCAGGTGCAAAAATGGACAATATCGGTCCACTCTATGAAGTACCTCCCCCACAAAGGTTCAAAATTCTGAATAAATATAACTCTTATAAAATGTGATGTAAGAATCCGATTGCCTTAAAATTTCACACATCCCAATATTTTTATATACTCAGGATCTGGTGTTAAGATGGAATATATCGGTCCACTGCTTTTGGTACATTCCCCAAAAAAGGTCAAAATTTTGAATAAAACACGAAATTAACATTCGATTCTATTTAGACTTGGAACATCTGAATATTTCCATTAACTCAGGATCTGTTAAAAAAAAAACTGTAGAGATCGGACCATTCCTTCTGGTACCTCTCCTACAAAGGGTCAAAATTTTGAATCTCCATGAAGGTCCTAAAACGCTAAATAAGCATCAGGTTCACTTTATATTTCACACATCCCATTATTTCTACTAACACAAGATCTGTTGTGAAGATGGGATATATCGGTCTACTCCTCCTGGTACCTCTAACACAAAGGTTCAAAATTTTGAATATCCGTGAAGCCCATTTGAAGGGAAATTAACATCCGATTCCATTCCAGACTTGGTATACCTCAATATTTCCATCAACACAAGATCTGTTATAGAGATGGTACAGATCGAACCATTTCTTTTGCTACCTGCCCACACAGGGTTTAAGATTTTGAAAAACAAAACTCTCAAGGAAAGCGAAATAAGCATTCAACCTCTTCTAATTTCACACATCCAAATAATTTTTCTGATACAAGATCAGTTGTGAAGATGATATATATCTGCGAACCACTTCTGGTACCACACCCACAAAAGGGTTACAAAATTTCAATATTTTTATCTGTCATAACTTGCGAAACAAGGGTTTTTTAAATTTTGAATTTTACAAGGAAAACTTATATTCCAAACGTGGATTAAAAAAATTATACCTCCGGACAATCGTTGTTTTTAAGACAAAAATGGTTGTTTTTGATAATCCCAGACTTTTTGGCTACCTTTAAACCTCTTATCTAGGAGTTTTATAATTAAATTTAATCCACCAATGTTGTTTTGATTTCTTTTTAAATTTTTTTGTGGTCCTTCCATAGACGTCCTACTAAAGATAAGCCATTACTCTTTTCAGACCCAAACTCATATTTCCCTGTGTCTGCTTTAATAACACCGACATTGGTATTTATGTGAGATGTGATAACACTAATCTGGCCACTTTGTCAGTGGCTATGCAAAATTTGGCTGCCCTGGAATTACCCGTGGAAGAGTTGATCATCAATAAAGGACATTTTGGTAGATACGATTTTCTTACTTCAGCAAAAAAAAAAAAAAAAAAAAAAAACATTATAAGAATCCATTTTTTTCTCATCCTATTTTAGAACGTCTTTTTGGTCCCTTGTTCTCCAAGGTTCAGGTGCGCAAGCTGACCATAACGGATACCCCAGTCAACACCTTGGATGATTATGTATTCTTTGGCATCAACAAGACTTTGGAAGAGCTACATATTGTCAATACGAATTTGGGTAGCATAACGCCATTGTCTTTTGGGGTAAGTGAGGAGCATTCAAATATCAAAAATAATTTGATAATTATTCAAAAATTTTTAAGGTCCTTGGAAAACTAACCCATTTGGAAATTGATAAACACAATTTCACTACGCTGGCCAAGAATTTATTTGCCGATCAATATATTGCCAATACGGTGACGGTGGTGAGGATCATTAATGGCCCGCTAAATGATTTACCCATTGAAACTTTTCAGGTAAGAACACAGATTAAGGATATTTTTTAAAGGAATCATACTAAATTCTAAATGACCTCCAAAGGCGATTTTTTGCAGATAATGTTTTATAAGGACATCCAAACGGGGTTTTTTAAATATATTTTTTTTTCTAAGGACGTGTAAACGAGAATTTTTTAAAAAAATTTTCTAAGATGCTCCAAAATTGGGGGTTTAAAAAAAATATATTTTTAAGGATCTTCTATCAAGAATTTTTAAAAAATTATATTTTTGTTAAGGATTATCAAACGTGGATTTTTTTAAAAAAATATTTTTTAAAGGATCTCCTAATGTGGACTTAAAGACTTTTAAGGACCTCATTTTTCTAAGGTCTAGGACTTCTAAGGATCTCCAAACGTAGTTTTTTTCTCATATTTTCTTCAAAGGACCTCCAAGCAAGGAATTTTTGAAGAATAATTTATTTTACGGCCTCCGAAAGGGGATTTGAAAAATCCTTATTTTGGTCATGGATTGTGTTTTAATTTTTTCTAAGAACCAGGATTAAAAAAAATATTTTGTGTAAGCGCGTGGATCTCTTAAAAAACATATTTTCAGATCATTAAAAAGTCCTGTATTTTCTGAGGAGAGGATTTTTTAAGAATATTGTTTGAGGTCCTTTAGAAAAATATTCCCTGGTTTTTTTCAAAGGACCAACATACCTCGAAACTTGGTTTTTCTCAAAGGATCAACGGACCTCTAAGCGAGGATTTTTTTAAGGACCGACAGACCTCCTAGAGTGGATTTTTTCAAAGGACCAACAGACCTCCAAACGTGGATTTTTTTAAAAATAATTTTTTAAAGGATTCCATATGTGGATTGTAAAAACAATATTTTTCTTAAGGACCCCCAAACGTGAATTATCAAACAGACGTGGATTATCGAAAGAATTGTTGTCTAAGGATCCCCAAAAATATATATTTTTGTTAGGGACTATCAAACGTGGGTTTTAAAAAAAATATTTTTTCTTAGGATCCCCAAACGTGGATTATAAAAACAATATTTTTTCTAAGAACCAAACAAAATGGATTTAAAAAAAATATGTTTCAAAGAAATTTTTTAAGGACACATTTTTCTAAGGACACACAAAAGGGGATTTTTATATATCTTCAAACGTCGTTTTTAAATATTTTTTTGGATTTTTTAAAAAATATTTTTTCCAAAGGACCTCTTAACGAGTATTTAGAAAAATTAAATTGTTGGCCATGGAGTATTTTTAAATTTTTTCTAAGGACTAGGATTAAAGTTTTTTTAAGGACGACAATCTTTAACATTTTTTTTCTGAGGATGTGGATCTTTTTTTATTTTTTTTTTAAAGATTATTATTTTTTTAAACATTTTATAATATTTTTTTAATAAAACTTTGTGATTTTAAAATATATTTTTTTGGATTTTTTAAAATATTTTTAACAAGGATCGAAAGAACTCCAATCGTGGCAAATTGAATATTTTTTGAATAGTTTTTCAAAGGACCTAGATATTTGATCCTTTACAAAAATATCTCCTGGATTTTTTCAAAAACTTCTAAACGTGAATTTTTTAAAGGACCTGCAGACCTATATTTCGACGTTTTTTTCTTTCAAGTCTTTCGCATTGGACTTTTCCAAAGGACAAACAGACCTCTAATCTGGGATTTTTTCAAAGGATGAACAGATCTCAAAATGCTTTTTTTTAAGGACCAACAGACGTCCTGACGTGGATTTTTTCTAAGGACCAACAGACCTCTAAACTTGGATTTTTTTAAAGAACAAATAGACCTCCAAACGTGGATTTTTCCAATGGACCATCAGGCCTCTTAGCGAAGATTTTTTTTAAAGGATCAACAGACCTCCAAGTGTGGATTTTTTTAAAGGACCAACAGACCTGCAAAAGTTGATTTTTTCAAAGGACGAACACGAGAGATTAAACGAGATTTTTTCAAAGGACCAACAGACCTCTAAACTTGAATTTTTTCAAAGAACCAACAGACCTCCAAAATTGGATTTTTTTAAAGGACCAACAGACCTCTTAGCGAAGATATTTTTTAAAGGACCAACAAACCTCCAATCGTGAATTTTTCCAAAGGACCAACAGATCCCCAAACGTGCATTTTTTCAAGGAATCAACAGACCTCTAAGCGAGGATTTTTTCAAAGGACCAAAAGACCTCCAAACGTGGATTTTTCCAAAGGACCAACAGACCTCCAAACTTAGCTTTGTTCAAAGGATCTCTAAATGCGTTTTTTAAGGACCAACAGATCTCTTAACCTGTGGATTTTTTTCAAAGCCTGGATTTTTCCAGGGCCAACAGACCTCCAAACTTGGATTTTTTCAAAGGACAAACAAAATTTCAAATTTGAATTTTTTTTTTGAAAGTATTAACATACCTTCATATGTTGATCTTTTCAAGGACCAATAAGCCTCAAAACCCGAGATTTTTCTAATAATCAACAGACCTCTAAAGGTGGGCTTTTTCAAAGGACAAACATACCTCTAAACGAAGATTTTTTCAAAGGACCAACGTGATTTTTTTAAATCACCAACATACTTGTAAATGTGGATTTTTTAAAGGACCAGCGGACCCCTTAACGTGCGGATTTTTTCAAAGGACCAGCAGACCTCAGACGGGGATTTTTGGAAAGGATATTTAAACTAGGATTTTTCAAAGGATCAACAGACCTCTAAACTAGGAATATTTCAAATTACAAAGTGATCTCTAAATTCATTTTTTTCAAAGGACCAACAGACGCCTGAACCCACATTATTTTAAAGGTCCAAAAATCTTCGATTTTTTTCAAAGGACCTACAGATAAGTGATCGCGGAGTTTTTCAAAATATTTTTGCACATTTTTTTTCAAAGAAATATATTTTAAAAATTGTATGGTCCTTCAAAAATATGATTAAGAAAGTTAAGATTGGTCCATTAAAAATATTTTTAAAAAATATTTTCAAGGACAGAGGTCAGCTGTTCATAAAGATCTGGTCCTTTGATTTTTTTAATTCATATTCAAGAACCTCTAAATGCGGATTTTTTTTTTTAAGTCAAAGGATCATTTCAAGGATAGCTAACCTCTTGACGTGGACATTTTCTAAAGGGGTTGTAAGAATACTTGCGGATATAATGAAAATATTTCTGAGGACAAAACGTGAATTTTTCCAAAATATTTTTTAGGAATCAATAGTGGACTTTTTCAAATTATCAAATTTTTTCTAAATATTTTTTTAGGAACCCATCGTGGACTTTTACAAAATATTATAATATTTATATATATTCAAATATTTTTTTTAGAGACTTTGTAACCATATTCCTAGAAGACTAATTTAAACATGTTTAAGGAACTAATTGTGTTTTCCCCCCTTTTTGTGCTTTAGCCCCTCCGCAAACTTAAGACCCTTGACTTGCATGGCAATCAGCTGGAAAACCTTAAACGGAATCAATTCAAAAATCTAAGAGAGTTGGAAGTGTTGGATATAAGTTTTAATAAAATCAAAAAACTTGAAGGTCAACATATTCAGGATCTGACCAAATTGGGTTGGTGTAATGCTTCGCATAATGCCTTGACAGAGCTGTCGCGTGGTGCCTTTGCCCGTAATGCTGTGCTGAAGGTATTGAATTTGTCATTTAATAAAATACAGAAATTGGATGCGAATAGTTTTCGTGGAATGCGATTTTTGAGGTAGGGGATTCAATTTTCATTTTTTAAACCAAAAATTTCAAAATTTTTCTGTTAATTTCCAGACGTTTGTATTTGAGTGATAATCGCATATCGGATGTGGGCAGAGGTACCTTTGGTGCGGTGGCCCGTATTGGTACCATTGATTTGGCGCGCAATGCTCTCAAGAAGGTGGACTATCAAATGTTTACCCAGCTGAATTATATTGAGGTGAGTTTGAGATTTATTAAAAAAATAATTATAAATAAAAATATATATATTTTGTTTTGATTTTAGATTTTAAACTTGGCTGAGAATAACATAACTTTGATAGAGAAAAACTCATTTAAGGATATTTACCAATCGGTCATAAATATTTCGCACAATGCCCTAGAAACCATCCAACCCAAAGCCTTTGAGAATTGTGTGAATATTACGGTATTGGATTTGAGTTTTAATCGTCTGAAGAATTTCTCCAAGGGAGTTTTCGATGAGACCACCTTTGCCACGGAATTCCAGTTGAGTCATAATTTCTTCAGTGATTTGAAGGATGTAAGTTGAAATCAGAAGGAGAATGGGGTAAAGTTGTTTGGCCTTTGGAAAAAAATAAGTAAAATAGTATCGATCGGTTTTGCTGGTAGAAACCATAAATTCCGATAAATTACATATTTATATCCGTTTTCTGGTTAGGAGACATATTTAAATATAGCAAGTTGTAAAGAATCTTGTTTCGCAAGTTATGGCAGATATAAGTATTGGAAATTGTGACCCTTTGTGGGTGAGGTACCTCAAGGGGTTGGCAGATGTATATCTTAACAACAGAACTTGCGTTAGTAAAAATATGTGTGAAATAAGGAAATAAGCATCCAATTATTTCCGATTTTATGACCGTTTTGGTTATTCAAAATTTTGACCTTTGTGAGGGAGGTACCAGAAGAAATGGTGTGATCTCTACCATCTTTATAGCTGATCTTGTGTTGATGGAAATATTGAGATGTACCAAGTCTGAATGGAATCGGACTTTATTTAAGCGTTTTATGGACTTCATGGCTATTCAAAATTTTGACCCTTTTGTGGGTGAGGTACCAGAAGAAGAGGACCTTTATATTCCATCTTTACACCAGACCTTGGTTTAGTAAAAGTATTGTTATGTGTGTAATTTGAAGGGAACCGGATGCTTATTCCGGATTTTATGATCGTTTTGGTTTTTCAAAATTTTGACCCTTTGTGGGGGAGGTACCAGAAGAAATGGTGCGATCTTTACCATCTTCATAACATATCTTGTGTTGATGCAAATATTGAGATGTGCCAAGTCCGAATGGAATCAGATATAAATTTCGTGATTTATTGGCTTCATGAATATTCAACATTTTGACCTTTTGTGGGGGAGGTACCAGAAGGAATGGTCCGATATATTCCATAATTATAGAAGATCTAGTCTTGATGAAAATATTGAGATGTACCAAGTCTGAATGGAATCGGAGGTTATTTTCGTGTTTTATGAGCTTCATAGCTACTTAAAATTTTGACCCTTTGTAGGGGAGGTACCCGAAGGAATGGCCCGATATATTCCATCTTCACACCAGACTTTGGATTAGTAAAAATATTGTTATGTGTGTAATTTGAAGGGAACCGATTGCTTATTTCGGATTTTATGATCCTTTTGGTTATTCAAAATTTTGACCCTTTATGGGGGAGGTACCAGAAGGAATGGTCCGATCTCTACCATCTTTATAGCAGATCCTGTGTCGATGGAAATATTGAGATGTACCAAGTCTGAATGTAATCAGATATAAATTTCGTGATTTATTGGCTTCATGAATATTCAACATTTTGACCTTTTGTGGGGGAGGTACCAGTAGGAGTGGACCGATATATTCCATCTTCACACCAGACCTTGGGTTAATAAAGATATTGAGATGTGTGGATTTTGAGGACAATCGGACTCTTACATCACATTTTATAAGAGTTGTAATTATTCAAAATTTTGAACCTTTGTGGGGGAGGTACTTGATGGAGTCGACCGATATTGTCCATTTTCGCACCTGACGTAGTACTGATGCAAATATTAGGATTTGCAAAGTTGGAGCAAAATCGGATTATCCTTTCTCTTTCTGTGCAGTAAATTATTTTCTTTGAAAATTTGCGGGATAGGTACCAGAAGGAGTGGACCGATATTGCCCATCTCCGAACTGGATTTAAGTTTGACAATAATATTACGATATAACAAGTTTGGATCAAATCGGATGCTCCATTCGAGAGTTATTGTGCACACCAGCCAGACAGACGGACGGAAGGCCGGACATCGCTTAATCGACTCCGAATGTTGTGAAACGGATTTCGTCCAAAGAGACCTAGGGTCAAAAACCGTTTTTTTATTAGACACGTTTTGACCATATGGCAGAGGGTATAAAAATTAGGAAAACAAAAGGGAAATTGAACCAAAAGTAGGATCCTGCTAAGATTTAAAACTCAGATATTAGCATCTTTCAGACGAATAACATGGATTAAAAAAATTCTGCGGAAAGCTTCAATTTGAGATATATGACTCAGATACTTCAGACCTCAAAACTCCAACTCAAACCTGATATTAAAACAGCTATGTGCAGCCTCGAATGGAAAAGAATAAACAATGCACACGTATTTTGTCCCTCTCTCTCTCTCTCTCTTTCAATTTTCATTTTCCATTGATTTGGCAGAGCGAGAGAGTCTCTTAACACTACTAATGCATACTTTTGTGAGAGAGGCTGTATTAAAATAATTCCCATTAGAATTGTAACGGATTACTTAACACCTCTCTCTCTCTATCTCTCTTCTAGGTCCCTCTCGAATATATGAGTGCCCTCAAGGTTCTGAATGTCTCGCACAACAATATTACAATAGTTCCCAAGAATACCTTCCCCAAGTTGTACGAACTACACACCATCGACATATCGCACAACAACATCAGTACCATTTTCAATGGTGTCTTCCAAACGCTCTTCTCGCTGCGTTTTGTCAATTTGTCTCACAACAGCTTGACCGAAATCAAATCGTCAATGTTCGGTACCATTCCCACTCTCCTGGAATTGGATTTGAGTCACAATCAATTGACAAATATTGTTCGAGGAGCCTTGGTTAAGTTGGCCAGTATGAGGTCGTTGAATTTATCGCATAATCGTTTGGAGAAACTTTTCCAAATTTCCATTTCACTCAATGAGCTGCACATAAGTCACAATCGGATAAGTAAGATTGCCCCTGGGACATGGCCGGTAATGAATTCCCTGCTCTATTTGGATTTAAGTCATAATCTGATTGGGGACTCTTTGGAGGAGAGTAGTTTTAGAGGCCTCCTGGTGTTGCAGAGACTGCATTTGGAGGGTAACGGCATAACTCGGCCGCCGGTGGAATGTTTGGCCGGCATGTCCACGCTGCAGTATTTGTATTTACAGGTGAGTCAATTCTGTCGAATTTTACTCAAGAAAATCCTCCAACTTCCCCTCACTGTTTCCTCAGCACAACAACATTACGGTTTTGGAAAAAAGTGCCTTTGGAAAATTGCCGGTCCTCTTCGAGCTGAATTTACACAACAACGGACTAACGGAATTGACGTGAGTATTTGAGATTCTTCATAAAAAATTTTCTCCACTTTATGATGGTTCCTTTTCAGAAAACGCTCCTTTGATGGCCTTTTGCAATTGCTCAACTTGAACATGTCCTCAAATGGCCTAAAAACCATACCCAATGAGGTGTTCTTTGGCCTGCCATCGTTGAGGAAATTGGATTTGTCCCACAACAAAATCAGTAAATTGGATAATAAGACTCATGGTGTCCTGGATGATCTACTGAGTTTGGAGGAGGTAAGGATAGATTTTAAGAATAGTATTTTTAGAGGACAAAGGCCCAAAGTCCTGTGGCATTTTTCAAAGGATTAGATAGATTAGGTAACAAGACTCATGGTATCCTGGATGATCTGCTAAAGTTGAAAGAGGTTTGGGGAGATTTTAAGAATAGCTTTTTAGAGGACCAAGGGCTTATATCCAGGGGTATTTTTCAAAGGATCAAAAGACCTTTTAACCGGGGATTTCCTTAAGAATATTTCTATTTCTATAGACCTCGAAATGTGCATTTCTTAAACATATTTTTAAAGGAAGAATGTTTTTTATATTTGTTTTCAAAGGACCTCTGAGTTTAAAAATTTTAAAAGAACAGTTTTTTTAAGGTCCTTCGAACCTGCATTTTGAAAAGAAGATTTTTTCAAAAGAACTTCAAATGTGGATTTTTTAAAAGAGTTTTTTCTTCTTCAAACTTGCATTTTTGAAAGGACATCCTTTTAAAGGGTCTGAAGGATTTTTTAAAGGATATTTTTTCAAGGGAGATTCAAACGTGGATTTTTTAAAGGGAGATTCAAACGTGGATTTTTTAAAGGGAGATTCAAACGTGAATTTTTTAAAGGAAGATTCAAACGTGGATTTTTTAAAGGAAGATTCAAACGTGGATTTTTTAAAGGGAGATTCAAACGTGGATTTTTTAAAGGGAGATTCAAACGTGGATTTTTTAAAGGGAGATTCAAACGTGGATTTTTTAAAGGGAGATTCAAACGTGGTTTTTTGAAGGGAGATTCAAACGTGGTTTTTTAAAGGGAGATTCAAACGTGGTTTTTTAAAGGGATATTCAAACGTGGATGTTTAAGGATATTTTTTTAAGGGAGATTGAAAGGAAATTTTTCTAAAGGCGATGAGGGGTTTTTTGAGGGAATATTTTTATGGCCTCAATTTTTTCCAGGGAGATTCAATTGTGGGCTTCTACATTTCAATGACCTCAATTGTGGATTCTCTCAAGAATAAGATTTCAAAGGACCTTCAAATGTGGATTTTCTTAAGGATGAGATTACAAATAATTTTTTTTTCAAAGGACCTCCAAACTGAAACTAACAAAACTGCAACAAAATCAAACTCCGTAATTTTTACATCTTTTTTAAATTTTATTGAATGAAAGCAAACAATATCGGAAATAGCATCAAATTTTAGAATATGTTTAGATTTGTTCGAATTGGTCACCCTTGGCACGAATTATGGCCTTCAAACGGCCAATGAAACCGTCACACGCTGCCCGAATGTTGCTCTGCGGTATTTTGGTCCATTCCCGGCGAAGCGCTTGCTTGAAGTGATCGACATTTTGGTATTTTTTAGTACCAACCTTGCTTTCCAAAATACTCCAGACACAATAGTCCAATGGATTGGTCTCCAGAGGTTTTGGTGGCCATTGTGGGAGTCTGGAAATGAAGCGGGGAAACTCATTTTATAACCATTCTTGGGTGGTGCTGAGTCCTGTTGGAATGTCCAAGGTCTGCAGCTAAAATGTTTGAGTGCCTTGGACACCCTCCAGAATATTTTCACGATATTATTCGTCATTTATTCTGATGCCACGGTCGATTAATACGAGCGGAGAGCACCCATCGGCTGTTATGGCAACCCGCACCATCACCAAGGCCGGCGCTCGAGTTCTGGTGGCCAACCGAAGGTGCACATTTTCAGCTGACCTCTTTGGCAAGTGAACACGATCATTTTGTTTGTTTACAAACTGCTGGACAACGAATGTTTTCTCATCGGAGACGGAGAAAACCAAATTAGGCAGTTCACCACTATCGGCCAAGCTAAGCAACTCTTTAGCTCTTTTGAGTCTAGTTTCTTTCTGTTGCGGTGTAAGTTCCTGCACTTTTTCGAACTTCAATGGCTTTACCCCGAGATTATTTTTCAATATTTGCCGGCCGAGTGGAATATTGCGATATGTTCAGCTCACGAGCCATTTTCGGCCACTGCAACGCGGGTTTCGATCCAGTCGCTTCTTTACTTATCGAACCATTTCTGCTGATGTTTCTGTTTTCTTTCATCCACTTCCTTGACGTCAGGCTACGCTACTAGACTACAACGGTAACAAGCAATGATACGAGACACAAACGAAACGAAACGCCCTAACGATAGCCACTTGTGGTTTTCCAGCCAAATATAAAGAAATCACGCTTCAATTCCATCACGAATAACTTTTTTTCTGGAGAACTCTCACCAAAATGCTTTTGTACTCTTGTAAACAATATAATGAGCTGTCACTGGAATAATTTAAAAAGCTGTCGGACGAGTGGCTTAGAAATGACACCAGCCTGAAATTGGTTCCAGTTTTTCATCTCACGCTGTAGTACCATACAGTATCATTTTAGAACTTTTAGTAACCTTAAAGTTCGAATCTCCAAAAACCAGTTGGTACATCTATACTGTATCAGTGACTCTCATTCTAGATTCTAGAATTCCAGGTCTTTCCGTTTGTCCAATACAAAATATTCAATGTTTAGTACATTTTCGTGCCTCTTTGTGCGAATTTCCATAAATAAAGCCAAGTTTAAAGGTCTTTGAAAAATATTTAGAATAAAAATCCACATTTGAAGGTCTTTGAAAAATACTTAAAATAAAAATCCAGGGTCCTTGAAAAATATTTTTTTAAAAAAATCTACGTTTGAAGGTCCTGGAAAAATATATTTAAAAAAAATCCACGTTTGTAGGTCCTTGAAAAATATTTTTTTTTAAATCCACGTTTGAAGGTCCTTGAAAAATATTTTTGAAAAAAATCCACGTTTGAAGGTCCTTGAAAAATATTTTTGAAAAAAATCCACGTTCGTTGGTCCTTGAAAAATATTTTTTTTGAAAAATCCACGTTTGAAGGTCCTTGAAAAGTATTTAAAATAAAAATCCACGTTTGAAGGTCCTTGAAAAGTATTTAAAATAAAAATCCACGTTTGAAGATCCTTGAAAAATATTTTTTTTTGTATAAAAAATCCACGTTTGAAGGTCCTTGAAAAATATATATTTTTAAATTATTTTAAACATTTAAAATAAAAATCCAGGTTTGAAGGTCCTTGAAAAATATTCTTATAAAACAAATCCACGTTTGAAGGTCCTTGAAAAGTATTTAAAATAAAAATCCACGTTTGAAGGTCCTTGAAAAATATATATTTTTTTAAAATTCCACGTTGGAAGGTCCTTGAAAATTATTTAAATTAAAAATCCACGTTTTCAGGTCCTTAAAAATAATTTTTTTAAAAATCCACTTTTGAAAGTCCTTCAAAAATATTTTTTTTATAAAAAATCCACGTTTGAAGGCCCTTGAAAAATATTTTTAAAAAAATTCTCGTTTGAAGGTCCTTGAAAAATATTTTTTTATAAAAAATCCACGTTTGAGAGTCTATGAAAAATATTTATTTTTTTTAAATCCACGTTTGAAGGTCCTTGAACAATCTTTTTTTAATTATTATTTTCAATATTTAAAATAAAAATCCACGTTTGAAGGTCCATGAAATTATTTTTAAAAAACAAAGTCCTTGATTTCTAAAAAAAAAATCACGCCATTGAATTTTTTAAAAATCCAGGTCCACGTTGTTTTTAAAAACTATTGAAAATTTCCAGAAACCCAGAAATGCTTAAGTATTTTAAAGGGTTTTTAAACATGATTTTCTTTAAGAACCATACGAGGATTTTTTCAAGGACCAAAGCAGGACTTTTTTATGATTTTTTTCTAGGAATATTTTAGTAAATTTCTGTAAAAACCAAATGAAGGTTTTATTGATTTTTTCAAGGACTATACGTGGATTTTTAATATAGATTTGAAGGCCAAACGAGACTTTTAGAACTCCAAGGGCTAATAGAACTTCAAGCTTGAATTATAGTTTTGAAATAATTTATTTCCAAAAACCATTGAATTTTTTTAATTATTGAAATATATTTTCCTCTTTCCTTTTACAGCTCAACTTGAGTCACAACAAAATCAGTTTTGTCACCAAAAAGACATTCCCCGAAAATCCCTACATTCCATATAACCTCAAATATTTGGATTTGTCCTACAATCAAATGCCAGTTCTGACCTATGACATTACGTTCGGAACGAAAAAGTTGCTGCGTTTAAATTTATCGCACAACAGCATCAATGAGCTACGTCGTGGTGTCCTGGGCAATTTTACTCGTCTTCAATATTTGGATCTCTCTAATAATGAGTTGTCTAATTTACAATCGGAGCCTCATCTTTTTGATTTGCCGATGAATTTAACGGAAATCTATTTACAAAATAATCAGTTATACCGGCTCAATTTTACCCAATTTCTGAGGAAGGAGGATCAGTTTAAAATCATTGATTTGAGAAATAACAGCTTGACGGAATTTCCACTTTCATTGGTGTGGAATTTGAAAAATGGCACAGATGTCCGGTTCCAGGGAAATCCGCTGCACTGCACCTGTGCTGCCAGGCCCATTAAGCATTATACCCTGCAATTGGCTGAGCTGACGGAAGACTTGAAAAATGTAACCTGTGCAACGCCAGCTTTGAATCGAAATAAATATCTAAGTGAGGTGGAGGATGAAACCCTGCAATGTCCAGAGGCAGATGAGCGGGAAATGTACACCGGATTGGAGTATGACAAACTGTCCGATGTTCGTTTCCGAGATATTGTGGTGTAAGTTTTTGGAATTAACTTCCTTTTTTAATAATTTTTAATTCCCTCTCTCTTTTTCTCTCTCTCTCTTTTTGCAGCCACAATGGCAACATCAGCGTCATTTGGTTTGTGGTCACGTCCAGAGATGTCGCTGATTTTATTGTCTTCATACGCGATCGCAATAACAACATTTTGTATCGTGAAGATTTTCTTTACAACATTCGCAAGGCCGACATTCCCGTATCGCTGTTCAGTGATAATTTCGAGTTGTATCGCGAGATTTGTATCATTTCCAAGGATAGCAATGGTGAGACGGGCAATTGGTTCCATGCCCAGTGCAATGAACTGCCACCACTGAAGGAAGAACGGCGTTTCTTCTTCTTTGCCTCATCGCCGTCACGGGGTCGCGGAATGAAATCCCGTTCAGCAGCATCACCGGCCATGTGGCGCCCAAATGTTCTGGTGATGTTTGGCAACCTTTTGTTACTCAAATTTGTGCTCAAAATGTGGTTGATATAATTGAGAGAAAATTTTGATTGTGATATTGAAAAAATAAGTCAACACTGCCACTAAAAAATAAGTACCTTCTTTTCTTTGATATTTTGTCTCCTTTCCTTTTTTCTTCAATTAAAAAAAATTGTTAATCCATATTTATTCTTTGTAAATATTTTTTTTGTGTAAATCCTTGTTAATACTCGCTAAAAATAAAAAAAAACGACAAAGGAAAAGAGAAAAGTTTATTTATCAATGCCTTCCAATGGATCTATGGATGTATGAATTAAAACGGGAGTAAGAGGGAGAGTCGTTTAGGAGAAGAAAAACAGGTCTTCTTTTCTTGAAGATCTGAAAGGGAAAAATACAAGGTGAAACTGCAACCAACTTCAGACTGCTGTCATTTCTAAACCACTCGTCCGACAGCTATTAAAATTATTCCACTGACAGATCATTATATTGTTTACAAGCGAACAAAAGCATTTTGGTGAGAATTTTCCAGAAAAAAAGTTATTCGTAATGGAATTCAAGCGTGATAGTGTGATTTCTTTGTATTTGGCTGGAAAACCAGAAGTGGCTATCGTTAGAGCACTTCAGCAGTTAAATGTGAATAAATCTTTTGTGTCTCGTATCATCGCTCGTTACCGTGATACTGGCAGCGTAGCCTGACGTCAAGGAAGTGGACGAAAGAAAACAGCAACATCAGCAGAAATGGTTTGAAAAGTAAAGAAGCGACTTGATCGAAACCCGCGTCGCAGTGGCCGAAACGAAACGGCTCGTGAGCTGAACATATCAAAATATTCGGCAAATATTGAGTTCGGATGAGCTCGGGGTAAATCCATTGAGCCATCCAAAAAGTGCAAGAACTTACACCGCAACAGAAAGAGCTAAAGAGTTGCTTCGCTTGGCCGAAAGTGGAGAACTGTCGAATTTGGTTTTCTCCGATGAGAAAACATTCGTTGTCCGGCAGTTTGTAAACAAACAAAATGGTCGTGTTTACTTTCCAAAGAGGTCAGCTGGTCGGTTGGTCACCAGAACTCAAGCGCTGGCCATGGAATGGTGTGGGCCGCCATAACAGCCGATGGTCGCTCTCCGCTCGTATTAATCGACCGTGGCATCAGAATAAATGCCGAATATTATCGTGAAGATATTCCGGAGGGTGTATTAAAGCCTTGGGCACGCAAACATTTTGACCGCAGACCTTGGACATTCCAACAGGACTCAACACCATCGCACTCAGCACGCGCCACCCAATTGGTAACAAAATGACGTTCCTCGCTTCATTTCCAGCGCACAATGGCCAACAAAATCTCCGGATACCAATCCGTTGGACTATTGAGTCTGAAGTATTTTGGAAAACAAGGTTGGCACTAAAAATATCAAAGTGAATGGGCTTCGCCGGGAATGGGCCAAAAATACCGCAGAGCAATATTCGGGCAACGTGTGACGTTTGAAGGCCATAATTCATGCCACAGGTGACCAATTCGAACAAATCTTAACTTATTCTAAAATTTGATGATATTTTCGAAATTTTTTGCTTTCATTAAATAACATTTAAAAAAAAATGTAAAAATCATGGCACCTGTATATCACACTGTATATTCCTTTATAGAAGTCTTTTGTGAAAAAATACTTGTTGTTCCATGCAGAATATTTTTTAATTCTCTCTAGTCTATGAAAGTATTTTTTTGTTAAAACTTTTTCAAAATTCTCGTTTGGCCGTTGGAAAAATCCATTTTTGGAGCTTGAAAAGAAAAAATTATTTGAAGGTCCTTGAAAATATTAAAAAAAAAATAAAAAATTTTAAACCACGACCTTAAAAAAGCTAAAAAAAAGTTAAAAAGTATCAGCTTCTTTTGCCGTTAGGTGTATGTCCTCTGCCAATGTCTGGTTATTTAAATATATTTTGACCTCCTTTATGATTGCTCATATTGTTAACCCTCAACAATTGACCCGAAGAAGTAATTCAAAATTGTTCATTTCGTATCCGACCTAAGTCTGATATAAATATTTCGGCGTGCCAGTTTTGGACTATATCGACTACTTTCTGTACTTTTTGGAAAATGTTGAAAGGTGCTTGAGGTACTAGATATAGTGGAGCGAAGTATTCCACTTCATCTAATACTGGTAAAAATATTAGGATGTTTGAAGATCCTTGATTTTTTTTAAATCCACGTCCTTTAGAAAATATTTTTAAAATTTAATCTTTGATTTTTTTTCAATTCACGTCCTTGAAAGATATTCTTCAAAAAAATCCACGTCCTTCGTAAATATTTTGCAAGAAATCTAATTTTTAAAATCCACGTTCTTGAAAAATATTTTTAAAATCCACATCCTTGAAAACATTTTTTTTAAACTACGTCTTTGAAAAATATTTTTAAAAATATTTAACAATTATTTACAAAAAATTCAGGTTTTTGATTTTCTTTTATAAAAATCCAGGTTTTTGAGTTTTGTTTTTAGAACAATCCAGGTCTTGAGTTTTTTTTTAGAAAAATCCATGTTCTTGAGAAATATTTTTTAAAAAAATCACGTCTTTGATTTTTTTTAATTCACTTCCTTGAAAGATGTTCTTCAAAAAATCCACGTCCTTCGTAAATATTTTGTATGAAACCCACGTACTTCGAAAACATTTTGTAAAAAATGCACATCCTTGAAAAATATTTCTTAAAGTTCGATGTATTTTTATATTGAAAATTTTAAAAATATAGATTTCTTTGAAAAATATCTATATAAATCCGCATCATTTGAAAAACATTTTTAAAAACATATACGGCCTTGAAGGAATTTTTTTTTAAAAAATTCTTAAAATATATATATATTTTAATCTACGTCCTTGAAAAACATCCACGTATAAAGGGCCTTGGAAAATATTTTTTAAAAAATATACGTTTGGAGGTCCATGAAATTCTTGAAAACTTTCATAAAGAAGCCCTCAAAACATTCATTAAAAATCCGCATTTGATTTTTAAAAACAATCATTAGAAAAAATCCTTAAAAACAATTAAAAATTTGATCATTAATAAAATATTAAAAATCCTTGTATGCCTCTTTAAGGGTATCCATGTTTGGCCCCAGAAAACACTCGCCTTTGGTTCTTAGAAAAATGCCTTCAAAAGTTCAGAAAGAATCTATGACAGATACACTTTTGATCCTTTAAACAATTGAATTAAAAATCCACGTTTGGCTATTGAAAAAAATCAAGTTTGGTCTAGAAAATATTTATTGAAAAATCATCAAAAAGTTATCGTTTGTCCCTGAAAAAAATTGATAAAAAATCAAGTTTGGCCATTGACAAAATTAACGTTTGATACTTGAAAAAATCCCTGTATGGTTCTAAAAGGAGCCTATGTTTGGTTCAAGAAGGAATTAATAAAATAATCCGTGGTCTTGGCACTTGAAAACAATTATTAGAAATTTTAATTTTGTCCTCAAATGCAAAATGCATAACAAACCACTTTTTACCCCCAAGAATCCACCGTTGGTCCTGGCGAAATCCTCGTATGGCCCCTAAAAAGTCACTTTTGGTCCTTGAAAAAAAAATCATTTAAGATCCTGGGAACAATGCTTTAAAAATACCCGTTGGATTTTTTTAAACTTCATTAAAAAGTCCTTAAAATAATTCATTAAAAAATCCTCGTTCGTTTCTCGAAAAAAAAAAACAAATTAATTAAAAACTCAAGTTTGGAGGTATGGTTGGTCTTTGAAAAATATTTGTTTTAACCCACGTGTAATTGTCCATATAAGTTCTGTAATTAATAAAAAAAAAACACTTAGCTGGTCCTTACAAATATTTTTTTTTAGAAATCCATGTCCGTTGGTCTTTGGAAAATTTTCTCTTTGTGTATTTGTCGATGACATAAAAGTCCCTTTTCTATCTCTCTCCTTCCACCTTCCCCAACGAGTAACCATTACCATACACCTGTCACAACTAACATGTGTTGTGATAAAAGCTTCTTTTGGGGGAAAAAGCTCCAAAGGATATTTTTCCTTTTCATTTTCTCTCTTTCTCGTTGGTAAATATTGATTTTTTGAAATGCCACTACACAGTTGAGAGAAACGAACAGCAAGAAGAGGAGGAAGAATCTCAAAAAAGGCAGGATAACAATGAAATGAACAACCGAAACACGATGAGAATGAATGTCAGCTTTTTATTACTCGTGGGCCATCCGTAACGTCAACGTCGCAAAAATAGCGAGCAAGCGAAGCGAATTAAACCGAAGGGAAAAAATATTAAAAAAAATAGAAAGAAAAAAAAAACAACACCTCAAAGTGAAAAATATAAGGAAAGAAATAAAACGGAAGGAACCAAAGGAATTTCTTGAGATTTTTCTGATTAAATAATACAAACGAAAAAATAGAGGAAATTTTACGGAAAAACAAACCTTTTTGAAAAATGTTTTAAATTTTTCCATAGAGAAAAGTGAAGGCGAAAAAAGGAAAAAAAAAAGAAAATTGTTATATAAATTTAAGAGGAAATCCGAGAAACAGCAGCAGAAGAAAAATAATGTTAATGAAGATGAAGCTGGAAAAGTGGTGAAACGGAAAAAAAGTGAATTACGGCAAACCCACATTAAATAACTTGCAAAGTGAAGTAAGGAAATTTCAGGAGCGAAGTTTTGGAATTTTGTGAAAATTTGTGTTTCTTTTTTTTGGGTAAAAAAAAATTGCTTCTGCAAAATACAAGTGTATAGATATGTAGGTGTGCGTGTGTGTGCCTCTCGCTTCGTGTGTGTGTGAAAATGAAATGAAAAGTTTTGCCTTCGTTGTGCCAGACGCACACACTCACACACACCAACTTGAGGGTGAAAAATCGTTAAATGAAAAGTGAAATTCTCGTCCTTTTCCTTTATGCCACGAAAGTGCCTCTGTGTGTGTGCGTGTGTGTGTTCATGTTTCTCCTCTCATATGGGTTAAGCAAAAAGGCACCTTGAAATTTTTTTAAAGTGTTTTATAACACACAGAAACAATAACAACAACAAAATATGATTTTTTGTTAAAAAAAATAAAGAATTTAACGAAAAAAAATGTGATCCTTAAACCAGGAGGCACTGTAAGGCCAACAAAGTCTAGAATCCTTAGAAATTGCTGATAGGCCACTGCAGTTTGCCTTGGCTATGGATTTGGCCTTTTTATGTAAGGGCCATTCAAAATTAAAAACAAAAAAAAAACAGAAAGGAAATTTGGCAGTGAAAAAGTGTGGCCAAAGGAAAAACAAAAATATTTTCAAAAAAAAAAAAAATAAAAAAATATAAACCCAACCAAGTCCCCGAAAAATAACTCAAAATCAATGGAAAACGATGACGAACTCAATCATCATACGTCGTGGTATCGGTCATGTTCGATATATATATATATAGCTTCCTTTACCAACCAAGCAACCTGGTATAGGTGTGTGTGTGTGTCAGTGTGCCAAAAGTGAATGTGAAGTGATTGAACAGAGAAAAGGAAAAAAAAGAATGAAAAAAAAAAACACAGCAATAAAACCAACAATGCCAACAACTATAATTACATAATCAACAAAATATATATGTGTGTTCATACATACATACATATATACTCCTTCGTTTTTGTGTGTGTGTGTGTTTGATCAAAAAAATTATTTGATTGTTTGACTGACTTGGATTTGCCTTGAGCCAAAAATCTAAGTAAGTAGCAGCAAAGTAAGTAAGCAAATAAACAATTTAGGGGGCAACTCCCCTGGTCCTAGGCAAAAAAAAAAAAAAAACAGGAAAGGGAAAGGGAGCTCCCCTACGTCAACGGCACCCACACCAATTTCTTTGGCCCGCAAAACAGACAGACAGACAAACAAACAAACATCAATGACATCAAAATGGCAACACACACAAATTTGATTAGGTTTGACTGATGAACAACCAACCAACAATAATAACAACAAACAACAACAACAAACACAACAACACTGGTTTGGAAAAGAACAAAACTTTCAAGAGAACATCCAGCCATCCATCCATCCATCCATCACTCAGTCAGTTATTTGAGGGAGAGACAAATGAGAGAAGAATACCCAAAGCAGAGAATGAGAGAATAACTGAAAATAACGGAAGAAACTGAGGAAAACTAAGACTAAACTTTCATAAATTTTACGTCATTTTGACGTTTTATTTGCGAAAAAAAACGGATTTTGTTTTTGGGAATTATGACAGGTTGTGTGAGGGAGGAAGGGAGGGAGGAGAGTAAAAATTCACAAAAGGACTTAACAAAAATAGTTTTGTTGTAAGTCATAACTGGTTTTAATTTTGAAGGAAGAGAAAATGATTAACTCCTCCGAGATGGGGTCACATAAAGTTTGGTTGGGGAAGGTTTTAAAAGGGATTTATCCTCCAAGGATCTGTTCTATAATCGGCCAACAAAAAGAGCTCGATTTAAAATTTTTCAAAAACGTATTCAATAAATTAACAAATAAAATAGAATCAGTCAGTTTTACTGACAGATGTATACCCCCAGCCTTGAGTTATGGATATTCAAAATGTTGACCCTTTATGGGAGGAGGTTGCAAAGCATTTGGCCAATTCATTGTTCAATTGGTATCTGACCTAAGACTGAAATAAATATTACAATCTGCCATATTTGAACTATATCGTCTACGTCCTATACTTTATATGAGAGAGATATAGGTATTGGAAATTGTGACGCTTGTGGGTGAGGTACCGGAAGGGGTTGGCAGATATCTATCATCCTCTCAACAGATTTTGCGTTAGCAAAAATGTTTGGATGTGTGAAATTTGAAGAGAGTTGGAGTTTTATTCCAAGTTTTATGATCGTTTTGTTTTTCAAAAACGATGAACCCTTTGTGGGGGAAGTACCAGAAGGAGTGCGCCGATATATCCCATTTTCGAAGCAGATCTTGTGTTGATAGAAATATTGAGATGTACCAAATCTGATTGGAATCGGATGTTAATTACGCGTTTTATGGGATTCATTGATATTTTAAATGTTGACCCTTTGTGGAGGAAGTACCACAAGAAGTGCGCCGATATATCCCATTTGAGGGGGCGTAACCAGGAGGAATGATCCGATCTCTACCAATTTTTGTAACAGATCTTGTGTTGATGGAGATATCGAGATGTGCCAAGTCTGAATGGAATCGTATTTTAATTTCGCGTTTTATGACCTGCATGGCTATTAAAAATTTTTGAACCCTCTTTGGGGGAGGTACCAGAAGGAGTGCGTCGATATATCTCATTTTTACAGGAGTTTTTGTATTAGGTAAAATATTGAGATGTGTGAAATTTGAAGAGAATCAAATACTTATTTCGCTTTTTACGAGCTTCATGGATATTTAAAATTTTGACCCTTTGTGGGGGAGGTACCGAAAGGAGTGGACCGATATATTCCATCTTCTCGGCAGATCTTATTTTAGTAAAAATAATGGGATGTGTGAAATATGAATGAGTACCGGATGTTTATTTCGGATTTTATAATCGTTTTAGTTATTCAAACTTTGACCCCTTGTGGGGGAGGTACCAAAAGGAATGGTCCGATATCTACCATTTTTATAACAGACCTTGTGTTGATGGAAATATTGAGGTGCGGCAAGTCTGAATAGAATCGGATGTTAATTTCGCGTTTTACGAGCTTCCTGGATATTCAAAATTTTGACCATTTGTGGGGGACGTACCAGAAGGAGTGGACTGACACATTCCATCTTCACAGCAGATCGTGGGTTAATAAAAATATTGTGATGTGTGTAATTTGGAGACAATCGAACTCTTAGATCATATTTTATGAGAGTTATAATTATTCAAAACCGTTTTCTCTTTCTGGGTTAGGTACTTGATGGAGTGGACCGATATTTTCGCACCTGGCCTAGCACTGATGAAGATATTAGGATTTGTAAAGTTTAAATGAAATCGGATTATCGTTTCCCTTTCTGTGCAAAAATATAGTTTTTCAAAATTTCGACCTTTTGTGGGGAGGTACCAGAAGGAGTTAACCCATATTGCCCATCTCCGAACTCGATCTAAGTTTAACAATAATATTACGATGTACCAAGTTTGAATCAAATCGGAAACTCCCTTCGAGAGTTATTGTGCGCAGCCCACCAGACGGACGGATGACCGGACGGACGGACATCCCTATATCGACTCCAAATGTCCTGAAAAGAGTCCAAAGAGACCTAGGGTCTAAAACCGTTATTCCGATGAGGCACGTTTTGGCCGTATCGAATGAAATATACCCTCTCTAGCTATATGACTGAGGGTATAATTAATCACATCAAGACAGGTTGGGGAAGGTGTAGAAAAGAAAAGAAAAATTTTATATAAATCCTCCAAAGATGGGTATTGTTATGAAACGAAGTAAATTTGTTAATGTTATAATTCTTTAAATCTAAATAAGGTTTTGATGAATATTGTCGGATCTTATCTCAATTGTGACCTGCAGAGCGACTGCGAAATCAGGTTTTTTTAATATTTTCAAAAAAAAGTGAATTTGCTAGAAAACCTTTTGAAAGGCATCTGACAAAAATGTTAGGTTTTTTTTGAAAACCTTACCTTACCTTACCTTACCAAAAAAACGTGTAATTTTAAAGAACATTCCCCATGACGAATATAAGGGCGCTTCAACAGGACACCCTATCATTTTTAGGTAAAAAAGAAAAAAATTGGAATATGTTCTAGCAATTATTCTGTTTTTTTTTAAGGATCTGCTGGCAAAAAAGTATATTTAAGAACAATTTTGAAGGATTCACTAACAAGATCTGTGAACACTGTTAAGGATCTCTTGCCTAAAAAGTTAAATTGTCCTAAAGAACATTTTTTGAATCAAAAATGGTGTATTTTCTTAAATATTTTGAGAAACACACTGAACCAAAATTTTATATTTTTTAGAAGATTTTTTTTTTAGATTTTCAGGCAAAAAAAATCTTTTTTAAGAACTTCGTGGTAAAAATCTTGAATTTCTTAAATCATTTTTTCAAGGATCTCCTGGAATTCATTTTTATACCCTCCACCATAGTATGGAGGGTATATTAAGTTTGTCATTCAGTTTGTAACACCTCGAAATATACATTTTAGACCCCACAAAGTATATATTTTCTTGATCAGCAAATTTTATGTCGATTTATGTCCGATGTCCGTCCGTCTGTCGAAATCACTCTAGCTTCCGAACGAATTGAAATAGATTGATAAAATTTCACTCAAATATATGTTCTATCTGCAGGACTTTTGGTATTGAAAATGGGTCATGTAGGTCCACGTTTTGGTATAGCCCCCATATAACGATACCTCCCGATATTCGGTATTTTGATGATTTTAGCGACATTATACCCCGTAATTGTTTCAAATTTGGTATTTGAAGTTCGTAATGAATACTACAGCCTAAGACAGAAAATTGTCTGTTCAGGTCCACGTCTTCGTAGTAACCCCATATAACGGTAGCTCCCGATATTCGGTATTTTAATGCTTTTTTCACCGGATATGCTTCAAATTTGGTATTTGAAGTTCGTAATGGATACTACAGCCTAACACAGGAAATGGGCCATGTAGGTCCATGTCTTCGTATAGCCCCCATATAACGGTACCTCCCAATATTAGGTATTTTGATGATTTTAGCGACATTATTAACCGGAAT